AATGTGTAGCAGCCAAATTCTCTGAACGCGTGATGTTGATTCTAAATGTGGAGAAAACCCGGAGGACCTGGAGAATAATCCATGAAACCACGGGGAGAGAAACATGCAAACTCCAAATATACAGGCATCAGGGTCGGGATCGAACCCACGACCTCCTGTATACCAGGCGAGGTAGTTAACATCTCGCCACCGCGGCTCCCTGCTCTGTCTGTCTGTCCCTTAGCTCTGTCCGTCTGTCCATCTGCAGCGGGTGGTCAAAATAACTCCCGTAAGGATAATACAATATAAATACAATTTTGGTATAAAGTTGTTTTGCTATGGGACTTACCCTAGAGAAAATAAGACGCGATGATAAAAGCTTTGCCCAAAACTTGGCGATTAAAAAAACCCTCCAGTGCTAAACAGATAAGACTGTTTGGCCAATGCGATGATGTCACACACTTCCCGTGGCACCAAACACGTGCGACACCATCTCATTGTGCACTTCGGAAGGCCGTGTTATTATCACTCGTTAAATATTTTTTCCGAGGACATACAGGATTTGGACAGCGCTGCGGAATCCATGCGTGCGCATGACTTTTCGCCGTCTCTAAAACTCAAACTCATCCACGTCGGGCGGCGGCGCCTCCATCTGCTCCCGGATCCAGGAGACGTAGTTGGCGAGGCGCGTGTACACGCCGTAGAGGCCCTCGCGGCCGCACTCGCCGGGGCCTCCCCACGACACGAGGCCCCGCACCACCCAGCGCTGCCCGGGCCCCACCTGGCCCCTGCGACTGCCGCCCTCCATCCCGTCTCCCGCACCGAAGCCCAAATCCCCAGCGCTGCTCTCTACCCTCCTACCCTCCCCTTCGCTCTCGCCACCGCTCCTGCCCTCTCCCAACGTGCTCCGTCCCTCGGCTGCGCTGCCGCCCTCCACGCCGCTGCCCACCGCGGTGTCGCCGCTCTCGAGCCGGACGAAAGCGCCACCACTGTCGCCTACGCACGTGTCGCGGCCTCCCTCCTTGTAGCCAGCGCAGAACATGTTGTCCGTGAGGCGGTAGCTGGGCCGGGGGCCGAGCGCCTGCCGGAAGCCCTCCTCGCACTCCTCCGCCTCCACCACGGGCAGCTTTACGTACTGCAGCGTGGGGGACACCATGGACGATGACGACGACGAGGACAGAGGCGATGACATGTTTTGCCAGGCGGTGGAACCCCAGCCCGACACAACGCCCAAGTCGCCCGGGCGCAGCGCATCGTCGAGGTCTCCTCCTCCCTTGCCGTCGCTGTTCCCCTCCCCCCCCGTCTCCTCGGCATCGCGTCGCGCGGAGGCCTCCCCGGCCGGCGCCTCCGCCAGGGTGGGTCCCGGCACGAGGTGGTCCACCGCTTGCTGCGGCGTCTGCGCGTGCGGGAGGAAGACGTGGACCCTCTGCGGCCGCGGAGTCCCTGACGGCACCGACGGGCCGCCGCGGCTCGGGGCGCCGTCCAGGAGCGGCGCTCCGTCGTCGTCGCCGTCCGACGCCGGACCGAAGCTGTCCCCCCTTTCCAGCGGCTCCGTGTCTCCGGCGCCTTCCAGGACGAACCCCGCCCGCGAGCGCATCCTCTCGTCCCTCTCTCCCTCCCGCCCGAGAGGAAGGTGCTGCGGGTGGCGCGGAGAATCGGTGACCCGAGGCCGCTCCTTCTCCGTCGCAGCGGCCGCGGGGGGCAGGCACACGGGCATGACCAGCGGGCCGAGATGCACGGCCTCCCGCAGTTCGATCAGCGCCACGTCGTTGTCGTAGGTTTTGGGGTCGAAGCGCGGATGGAGGATGATTCTGGCCACCTCCGGCCGGAGCGCGGATCCCGCGTGCTTGTCCGTGCCCCCGCTTCTACCGCCACCGTCGTCACCGCCACCACCGCCTCCTCCATCACCACCACCGCCACCACCGCCTCCTCCATCACCACCACCACCGCCTCCATCACCACCACCAACACCTCCACCGTAGGGGTCATCGTACTCATCTCCGCCGCCCCGCCGTGCGTCCCCGGCCGGCTCGGGCCCATCCCTGACGCGCACGTCCGTGAAGCCAAGGTAGACGCGCAGGCTGTCGGGCGGCACCGCCTCGACGGCCCAGCGAGGCGCCGGGAGCAAGAACGGCGACGCCCCCGCCGCCGCCGTCGCCGCCGACGACGAGAACGCCGCCGAGAGCGAAGAGGAGCGGGTGCGTCGCCACGGCAGCAGGACGTGCGCCGCCGTGAGCAACCATCGCGGCGCGAGGAGCGCGGCGCCGCCGAACCACGGCTCGGAGTTGACGCGCGCCGGGTCGCGGGCCACCACCAGCGCCTGCCATGGGAAGGCGCCGGGCTCGGCCGCGAGGCCGCCCACGATCCGCTTGCGCAGCGGAGGAAGGTGGCGGCTGGGGCGGCCGCAAACTGACGCACAGCGCAATGCAACTACGGTTGCCAACCTGTCCTGGCTTTCTCGGGATTGTCCTTTTTTTTTACGTTAGCTGCTGTCCTGGGAAAAAAAAAACTAATCTGTACGTCTCCTCTGGGACGTGAAAAGTCCAGGGGGTTTTAGTGTTTGTTTGTCAGTCGTATAATAATAATTATAATGAAGATACAGCACGCTGCTCAAGACAATGCATTCGCGTGAATTCTCCCCTCTTGCTGGTACTGTGAAATATCCTTCATCTTCACATGATATGCCCCAGGAGCTCTGTGGTTGTTACCCGATCTGTCACAGATGCTTGGGTAAATTCGTGAGAAAAGCGGCAGTGTAGCCAAACTCAAACTCACGGAGTGTACCAACGTAATACGTTTATGACTCGGCTTGCAAACAATTCGTATTTACTACAATACATGAAAATAAAATCAAATATTATATAATACCGAGGAATAAATTAACTTGAAACATATAAATTTTGATTTAAAGCTTTTGTGACTGCAGGGATTCATATTCTTGGTTCTTTCCCTTCTATGTGACTTTACCGAAAGAACAAAATTTTTTAAACATATATATAAGGACTTACTTCATTTAGAGGCATTTTGGAGCAGTGCAATACAGTATTTTACTGTACTACAACTATATAGTAAATAATGTACTAAATTATGGCTGCTTGGCCATTCACATTAAAAAAATAATTGGCGGTGAAACATTTGAACTACTTTATTATTCGCATATTTTGTATTCTCTTAAATCTTTAGATTTCCCCAAAAACACTCTGTAAGATGCAGGACGGACAGGGTACGCCCGCCCTTAAAATGTCACGGGCGAATTTTTGAACTTCAGCAAAAAAATGTTAAAAGGATAAATTGAAATATTGATGTAAATAAGAGGAAGCAGAGGGGTATGTGGATTTCCATATTTGTCGCTGTGAAGCAGCCGTCTGAGATCAGGAGAACCAGAAGTGATTTGTTGGAGCTTAACGCGCTAATGATGCTGAAAGTTTATAGGCGCGGTGTAATTATTCTCGCAGCGTCCCATCCCACACCTCCCCTCCCCGTCGTGCCCAGCAAAGAAACGAGCGGGGTGTTCATACTCAAACCCAGAGGCGGCAGGGATGGTTCTCCTGAGACCTACGCAATCTTGCTGCCGGTCACTGCGGGGAGCCGCCGTCAGGGCGTTATATATGCCACGCCGGGCGCAACAACACGCACGCAGACTCGTGCGATTGTTAGTGCTGACCGGCCGCGCTCCTGTGATCGTTAGTATGCACCAGGCTCGCCAGTGTGATCGTTAGTACCCACCAGGCTCGCGAGTGTGATCGTTAGTACCCACCAGGCACGCCAGTGTGATCGTTAGTACCCACCAGGCTCACCAGTGTGATCGTTAGTACCCACCAGGCACGCCAGTGTGATCGTTAGTACCCACCAGGCTCGGCAATGTGATCGTTAGTACCCACCAGGCTCGCCAGTGTGATCTTTAGTACCCACCAGGCACGCCAGTGTGATCGTTAGTACCCACCAGGCTCGCCAGGTTGATCGTTAGTACCTACCAGGCACGCCAGTGTGATCGTTAGTACCCACCAGGCTCGCCAGGTTGATCGTTAGTACCCACCAGGCTCGCCAGTGTGATCGTTAGTACCCACAAGGCTCGCCAGTGTGATCGTTAGTACCTACCGGGCTCACAGTGTGATCGTTAGTACCCACCAGGCTCGCCAGTGTGATCGTTAGTACCCACCGGGCTAGCCAGTGTGATCGTTAGTACCCACCGGGCTAGCCAGTGTGATCGTTAGTACCCACCAGGCACGCCAGTGTGATCGTTAGTACCCACCAGGCACGCCAGTGTGATCGTTAGTACCCACCAGGCTCGCCAGTGTGATTGTTAGTACCCACCAGGCTCGCCAGTGTGATCGTTAGTACCCACCAGGCTCGCCAGTGTGATCGTTAGTACCCACCAGGCTCGCGAGTGTGATCGTTAGTACCCACCAGGCTCGCCAGTGTGATCGTTAGTACCTACCGGGCTCACAGTGTGATCGTTAGTACCTACCAGGCTCGCCAGTGTGATCGTTAGTACCCACCAGGCTCGCCAGTGTGATCGTTAGTACCCACCAGGCTCGCCAGTGTGATCGTTAGTACCCACCAGGCTCGCGACTGTGATCGTTAGTACCCACCAGGCTCGCCAGTGTGATCGTTAGTACCCACCGGGCTCGCCAGTGTGATCGTTAGTACCCACCGGGCTAGCCAGTGTGATCGTTAGTACCCACCGGGCTCGCCAGTGTGATCGTTAGTACCCACCAGGCACGCCAGTGTGATCGTTAGTACCTACCAGGCTCGCCAGTGTGATCGTTAGTACCCACCAGGCACGCCAGTGTGATCGTTAGTACCCACCAGGCTCGCCAGTGTGATAGTACCCACCGGGCTCGCCAGTGTGATCGTTAGTACCCACCAGGCTCGCCAGTGTGATCGTCAGTACCCACCAGGCACGCCAGTGTGATCGTTAGTACCCACCAGGCTCGCGACTGTGATCGTTAGTACCTACCGGGCTCACAGTGTGATCGTTAGTACCCACCAGGTTCGCCAGTGTGATCGTTAGTACCTACCGGGCTCACAGTACGGCTTCTTCTCTCCCGTTTCTGGGTTCATCCACACGCCCGTCTCATTGCAAACGAACTTCGCTGTGTGACGGGATGGCAGAAACACAACAACAACAACAAAAGCGAAAGAAAATGAGACGCAAGTGAGACAAGTGAGACACAATAAGTCGGACGAGGGAGCCAAGCAGTGAGTACACCGGTGGATTCTGAAGCGCTTTCCCAAGCGCCGTTTGTCTGCCCTACCTGTCACAGACACTTGGGTAAAGTCGTAAGATCAGCGGCGGTGTAGCCAAACTCAAACTTAACACTGTGTGCAAACTTAATCATTTCAAGATTCAGTGTGCGAACGATTAGAAAGGGTTTCAATTTGTAATGTCATCGTCACCTCCGGAATCCTGAAACATCTTAGCTCTGGTTTTTAGATCATGTTTTGGGCAATTTAGGTGGTTTTCGTTAAAGTAAATCCCGAATGCCGACGTGACTTCACGTTCATATCGGATAACTTATACGAGAGTTCTCGTGTCCCCTTGTTACAGACAGACTCTCATGCTAACTACAACAATTTTTATTAATTTTACCAGGTAAGGCCCATTGAGCTATCTACCCTCTTTTTTCAGAAGCGATCTGACCACAAATGATAGCTTCAACGAAGTGGCTTATCACGTGGAAATTTATAGCAGCCAAATACTCTAAACGCATGTTTCAAAATTTTGGAGGGAAAAACCGGAGGGCCGGGAGAAAATTCCATGCAACCACGGAGAGAACATGTAAACTCAAAATAAACAGGTGTCGGGATCGAACCCACGACCTCCTGTATACCAGGCGAGGTAGTTAATATCTCCTAGCCACCGTGGCACCCCCCCCCCCCCCCCCAACGGTGTATCAAAAACAAGAAAGGTTTACGTTTCGTTTTTTTGTTCTATTAATTTCCGTCAGTCAGGCATCACGGAGGAGAAAAATAGCAAATGTGGACAGAAGAGAAAGCAGGGAGAATTTACCGGAGGGTCTTCGTTTTAACATTTCGGGCACATTCCTCGGTTGGGGAGCGGTTATAGTAATTGAACGCGTTAAGGCCCCCCTCAATTATTTACGAATGAGCTTGCGTACGAAAGGTGTTCTAATTAAACCCCCAGCGTCCATGCCGCGCGATGCGACGGGCCCGGACTCAGCCAAGCGTCGAGTGAATTGTGGCGGTTGGGGCCTTGAGGTCAGACCCCTCTCACCCAGTGTTCCAAATTTCAATGATTTTTCCGGGGCAAAAAGTGAAACAAATATAATAAAGCTGGCTAGCACCTCACATATACTGCATCCTGTTGCCACCCCCGCTCCAATTTCAATCTAAAATTCAATTCCATTATAAAAAGCAAGGTACGACTTTGTTGATATCAAGATATTTTTTTTTTAATCAAGGGAAACCTGCATCGAATAAAATAATAAAAACAACAACAAACAGGATCCGGAGTCGCAGATTGAAACGCAGAGTTAAATATCAGCACGGCAAACGTCACAAGAGATGTTCTGGAGTGATCAAATACAGTTTCTCACTTAAATCAAAAACATTTGTCAGATCATAGAGGTCCTAGAGATCAGCGATTAAATCACAGAGTTAATTTATGCACCCTCCCACCCCCTCAATTTTTTCAAGGTATTTAATTCCTATAGCTATGCTAAAAGTCTTCACGAATCATAAACCTTTCACAAACACTAAGAAGACGTTAAACGGTAATGCTGCACGAAATATATGAGGGCAAATGTGAACTTTATCAAGAAGCAGTGTTTACTAACCACTCCAGAATGTAAGAGGGTGGCCTTGGTTGTTGTGCGGTTCACGTTGTCACGGTCGTGTCCCCACGCAGCCCCCAATTTCGTGCTTTTTGAACTTTCATCAAAGATCTTTGTCGCAAAAAACCAAGACGTCGCATATCTCAGCAGGAATTTGCCCGTTTGTGAACAAAATTAATCTGTAAGGAAATATCCCGAATGTGCGTACTGTATTGAAAACCGGGCTAATGCGGTACTGTTATTAATCAGGGTTGGAGCGATGGATAGTGAACCGTGCTCTAAACCCAGCGACCTGAATTTGATTACCAGCCCCGGTGAGTGACCTTTGAACCATTTCTCCTGACCCCTAGCCTTTCTCCAACCTGCATTGCCCAGCGAGGTGAAGTACGGTAAAAATATATAAATAAACACGGCTTGCGGGAATCCTTCATTCAGCAGTAGATTGAGAAAGGGCTGTAATTATTATTATCATCATACATCAGTGGCACATACATCGAGTCCTGTCAGCGCTACAGCGCCACACACGGAGAACAACACTTGGAGGAAAGGAAACGGAACGTGAGAAGAATCAACGCGACCGTTTTATCCCTACTATTTTATTAGTTTGAACAAAACGTTCTGTTGGCAACAGCACAAGAGCCCCAGAGAGAGGGAGGGGAAAGCGAGAGGGGGGGGTCTGGCTCTCATTTTAAAATTGTCTTAAGCCTGATCTGAATCCGCGAGAGTGCTGAAGCTCGATGAAATCTGAGGCGAAGGACCAAATCCCCAAATGAAACTTTCTGTTTGCTTGACAGAATAAAAGGGGACCGTGGTTGGGGAAAGAAGATGAACTCTCCATCCGGGGTGTTGTTAAATAAATTCATAATAAATAAAGAAAAATACCAAATGTTATTTTCGTATTATTTTTTTGGACGTTACGAAGTTTTAGTTTCGTACTTTTAAATACGTTTACTGCAACCGAAGTGCCGCGCAGCTCAATTGTAAAGTAGAACTTTATCTCTTCTTAAGGGGCGATTGGGGAAGGGCATGTTTGATACGAGTGCTGGCAATTTTCCGAGATAGATTTGGCCACAAGAACGGCTTGCATAACATTAAAATAATACATTATGGCTTGCTTATATCCTCAGCTTCCCTTGCAAGACGCCTCTTACAAAGGATGGCCCGCTGCTTTGAAAAATGCCTGGAACTTTGTGAACAGCACCTTTTTCCATGCAAATTTCAATCCATGGACTTTCGCCTGCTTAGCTGGTGCAACCCATTACCCCCCCACTTTCTGGCTGGTGCCAGCTTTTGTCCAACATTTTGAAAAGGTAAAAGTGCAGGCCTGAATTTCCTTGCTTGTGGCCGTTGCTGGCGGACGGGCCTCCACGAGAGCTCGCTGTCTAGAGGCTCTCTCGACAGCGACCTCTGCATTATAAGTCCAGTGTGCCAACGCCGGAACCGTCTCCCGTTACAGCTTTGGTCATGCTCTCTCCAGCTCAATGTCCCGGCATGGCAGTTCGAACGGTGGCGAAATGTCAAATACCTCGCCTGGTACACGGGAGGTCGTGAGTTCAATCCGTGACCCTGACGTCTGTGAATTTGGAGTTTCACACGTTCTCGCCGTGGTCGCGTGGATTTTTCTCCGGGTTCTCCGGTTTCCCCCTCCACATTTAGAAATGTGCATTTAGAGTATTCGGCTGCTCTAAATGTCCACGCTATAAGCCACTTCGCTGAGCTATCATTTGTCGCCAGGTCCCCTTCTGAAAAAAGAGCTACATAGATCAGTGGGCCTTACCCTGGTAAAATAAAAAATAGTTTAGGGAAATAAAAAGGAAGGTTTATTAACCCCCCGCCCCAACCGCCTCTGTCCACTGCAGGATAAACTGGTACCCCACAGTTTGTCGACTGACAGGTCACGTGCAGTGGAGTAAAGTGAGAGTGCTCCCACATTTTTCAAGACGTGTGGCCAGCGTGGAAGAGTTCACCCAAATAATCTCGGGACTGACGCGATGGAGCTCCGTGTAGCGGAAGCGTCCCATCCGCTGGCAGTCGCGTCAGCAAGACAGTGCAAGGGCTGCACCGTTACCCATCATTACTTTTTCATTATTATAATTTTCATAAATTTTTTATATTCTTTTCTTATCATTTTACTATTATTTATTGTTATTTTTATTATACTTTTTAAGAAAATAGATATTTTTCATTATTTTCTATACATATTTTATATATTGATTTAAAGCTTTCGTGACTGCAGGGATTCATATTCTTGGTTCTTTCGGTAGACTCACGTAGAAGGGAAAGAATAAAATAATAAATATATTATTTTATTCGTGACTTTACCGAAAGAACCAAGAAAATATATTTTATATATATAAAAAAATCATTGTCATTCAATTTGGCCAAAATAGTTTCCGGGGATGCGCAAAAACTGAGAAAAACCCCGGGAGGAGCGTGAGGGCAGGGGGCGAGGGGGTCGTGCGGTGGGCCACGTGCAGGCTCACTGGCGCGTTTGGAGCGGAGGTTGTAGTAGGGCTCGTCGCAGGCGTAGTCCACGCTTGCTTGGAACGTCGTGGAGTCGGCTTCCGTGCCTCTGCCGTTGTCAAGCGCCAACGGGGGACCGCAGTCGACGACTTAAAAACACCACCATCAAAAAACGCATCATCATCATCATCATCACGGTGGCACGGCGGTTTACGCCACGTGCATCACGGGACGGAACAATATTCGGCATTCGATTATTGACTCGGCCGTTTTTCTGCGCGCGGTGTTTGCACGTTTCTCTCCCCCAGTTCTGCATGGGTGGTCCTCCGGGTTCCACAGTTTCCTCGCATGGCTGAAAAGCATTACAAAGTATCTGGCATTGGCCAAATATCTACTCGTGAAAAATAATCTTGAGGGTTTCCCTGGGTTAACGAGCTTCATATAATAATATCATTCCCACTCTGAATGTTTCACTGCCAAAGGAGTCGGTATCGCCACGCTCAAATGTTACAACCAGGCATTTAACTCCGCGCTCATCCATATGTCCTGAGGCAGCGGTGGAAATTCTGCACTTTTATGTCTGAGATCAGTCCATCTAGGCCAGGGGTCAGCAACCAGCGGCTCTGGAGCTGCGCGTGCCTCTTTCAGGAATTCTTCGTGTCGTTATTTATGAAGGACCGCGGTCTGGTTTACACCACGTGCGTTGTGGCTCTTGAAATATTGAGTTTTTTTTTTTTACAAATTCGAACAAAAATGGCTCTTCGTGTCATTTTGGTAGGGATGACGATGGTGCTGTTGAAACTGTTATTGTAAAAAAAAAATATACTCAGAATGATTTAATTGGGACCCTCCTACCCTGCCATAATTACTGCACTAACCACATAACACATTGTATGATTACCATCGCCACTGCTGTCATCACATCTATTATTCTCATTGCAATTCAACATTTATTTCATGTGGTGGTGGTTGTTGTTAGTTTAATTTAAGTCCAATTTGCACTTCTGCAGTGGTTATGACAAAGCCTCAATAGGCCCGTGATTTGATTTTAAATGTGTTAAAATGTGTTGAAAATTGTTTTCAAATTACGTTCTTTCGTGTTCCTTCAGCCCGAGACCGAACCGCGCAAAATGCACCCAGCAATGGTATTTGGCCGAACATCCCAAGGACAGGACTCGCTTGAAAACGTCTTGAGACCTCATCCAAAGCGTTCCCGGGTAAATAACTTAATTTTTTTCAAATTATTACAGCAGAAGCCCTCTTAACGACCGCCCCCGTTTAGGACTAACCACTTAACGACGGGCCTCCATAGAGCCCAATGTGTTAGATTACCGACCATTCCCCTGTTAACGACGGGCTGTTGGAGGCACAACAAATATTAATGCATTGATTAACATTGCTTGTTTTAATATAACGTGTTTATAATGTTGTTAGTATCATGATGTATTAATATCCATTGTTGAAATATTATAAAGTACGTTTTTTGGGTGAAAAAGGCGGAACGAATTAGGCCTTTAACGCGTATTTCCTAAACTCGCTTAACGACAAAATCACATTAACGACCGGCTTCGTGGAGCCAATTTTCATCGTTCAGAGGGGGCTCTACTGTATATAGTGCTTCAATTGTTTTGTTTAACACTTATATGGGAATAACGTTTGTAACATGACAACACGTGGATGTTAATAGCTTCAAAAAGTCAAAGAGTCTCCACTTGCTCGCCATCGTTGTCAACGCGTGGCCTGGAATCTTCTCCAGGTGGTCTCCAGAGGTTTCCAGAGCCCGATAGGCGCATTACTTGTGGCATTGTTGCAAATTCTCCGAAGCGTTGACATTTTTTTGAAGCACGCTGTAAGTTTATTTTCTTTTTTTTCCTACACATTTTGCTTGGCATCGACACTGTGGGAGGGGTGGGGGTAGTCCACCACCCCCCCCCCCCCCAGCTTGACGCGTGCACCGCCGACTCACTGCGGCAGCTGGGCGCCATCCTGCTCCACGTGCCGTCGCTTTGGCAGGCCATCTGCAGCGAGGGCACCACCTCGTTGTCTTCCTCCTGCCCAGAGCCATCGTCATCGAACGTGATCATCATCATCATCAGCAACATCATCATCATCGTCGTCGTCCGTCCTTCCCGCCCGCACCTCCGGTTAGCACGGTTGGAGTTCCACACACGTACATGAGCTGCAGTTTTTACCTCAACGATTCAACGAATTCAAACGGTCAAGTTATTAACAGGGGCCGTCAATCGCCTCCGTATTATTTTTCTGTCGCTCATACCGTGGTTACTGCTCCCACGATCTTCACTTGCCGATTCCTCCACCCATGCTGAGGACTCAGCCCACCCGACACTGACTGTTTCAGCTAACCCATACATTGTTGTGCAACCGCCACACAGCAGGTCAAGAAACGTTTCTCTTCCTGAAACTTTCCTCGCAAAAATGCCCGACGTTGGAATCCCGTCGCATCGTCTCATTCCCCCAAGTTCTGATAATATCCTTGCTAATCTCAAGAAACCCTTAGCTCGTACACCCTCAACTCGTAACTATTTGTTGCTTGTCGCTTGCCATTTTGGGGCTTTGGGCCTGCCCTCAGCAACCGTGATAAAATTTAAAAAAATATATAAATTCAGTCTTTAATTGGCCTGGAATACGCTCGTGAAAGAACTAGACCCATGGATGATTCCTCACTTAGCATGACCACTGCAACGATAAAGTTCATCATCGTCTCCATTATTTCGACTAAAATACCGTAACTACAACGATTTATCACCGCTACCAATATCCACAATGAGGGATGGAGTTGGCAAAATCTAATACAGTTACATAATGTATGTATGTATGTTGAACTTATTTCGCGCCATACGTAGCTAACCGTGCTTATCGGAGGTGCAGGGCAAGGACTACACACAAAGCAGTTCTAAACAAATTAGTTTTCAAGATTTAAAGTGCAAAGCTCCAGTGGCGTCCTAACATCGGAAGGACGATGCGTTACACGGAGGAGCAGATGCTGCTCCCCGCAGCAGCGACGATGGCGAGACGGATCTCGCCGGTTCCTGAGACCGGGTCAGAAATGAAGAGGCGAGGGAAACGCCAAAAGTTGATACTGAACTCAGACAAGCCGAGCGACGAGTCGACTCAGGCGGCTCGGATGGGCACGTCGTTCGAAGGTGGTGGTGGGGGGAAGAGGTGGGCTCGAATTCGTGCGCCATATATAGTGAGCCATGCATGAAGGACTGCGGAGTTGATGTGGAGCTGATGGCCCTGGACAAAATAAGAGGACCAGGAAGGCAGAACCCCCCCCCCCCCCCCCCCCCCCCCATCATGAGTGGGCAATGAGGACGTTTTCAAAAGAAAGGAGCCCTGCTGTTTCTGGTGCATTCATCTCATTCCTCGATCACTGATGCGCACGCAGGGGCATGTCGACATGTCTGGACATGCCTGCAGAATGCTCACTAGGGGCCAGTGGTGTTCGAGATAGCCCCTTTGTCAAGAACAAATAAATACAAGTCACATCTGGTCAACGCCGCGTCACAACATACAATGATATAACGGGATGTTCATGACGAAGGACCCTTCGCTCAAGAGTCGAAAGCGGGTCAGTTGTACTCGGAGATTGCACTTTATACTCCGGCGCATGAATACCTTTAAATAGTGTGGGAAGTGACAAGGTTTTTTTCCCCCTACGCTTTTGAAAGCAAATTGCAAATGTTGAGCGTGATCGTCAACTGCGAGTCAGCTGACTTCTCTGCCCTTTGGTCTGGGGGAGAGTCAGTGTCAGGAACAATTGCTGTGTGGGTTGTCGCGGCCTCCCCTGCGCCACTCTCCGACGTGTCTGTGCGTTGTGCCGCGTGTCATTCCGAACGACGTCCGTTTCTTAAGGTGCCTCCGGCATGCGGAGCGAAACGCCGGACATCGGAGAGTCAGAAGCGTTAGCCTATTGCGGTGCTGCGTGTCAATTATTTGGTCGAAAGGCAGTGTTCATGACCAATGTCGCGTGCTTTGTATTCTTTTTGTTTTCACCCCGCTGCTAACACAGTCCCTTTAAATTTTTTTTTTTTGTCTCTGAGCAGGAAGCTCATGAACGATGGTTTTGGACAGCTGGGAGGAGCAGCAGCAACTCTCCCCGGAGTATCAGCTGGTGGGAGGAGAAGTGATGCCCACCACAACAACAACCCACAGCAGCACTGAGCAGCTAATCATACTAATTTGAATGTATACAGTCGACATTCTAAAGGCATCTCAAGACGCTGCGCAGGGCGAGTGTATAAATCACACCTCCATTGAAGGGGCACAGACTAGGGGAGAGAGAATGTCAACCATGAAAGGTACACAAGACTGACCTCCCCACGGTTCGGATGTTGATTCTAAGACACAGCAACGTGGCCCAAGAGGGAGAGTTAGGTGGTGCATATGCCATCACATCTCATCTCAAGCATTTTGAAGCCCCCTCACAGTCTCAGCAAGCAGTTCCCGGTTGACAGATGGCTGTCCCTGTGCGGCAGGAGGCTGTACCCAGAACCAGCCTGAAAATGGGCAATAGCTCGACCCCACAGCGGGGAGGGGGCGGAACAATGTTGCAATGTGTTTGTTTGTTTTGTTGTTGTTGTTCGAATGAAGCCACGACTCACCTGAATTAACCTATAGCCAGTGTTACAGAAGAACACCACCTGGTCCTTAAAGGAGTAAGAGTCCTGAACTGGCTCGATGAATCCGTGTGCTGGTTCCACCACCATGGGGCATGGGGTACCTGCACAGCAGAGCAGAGGGCATGGCGCTAAGCAAGGTACGCAAGAGAAATGCACAGGCTCTCGTTTTTTTTATAGCTCAAAGTGATTTGTAAAAAAATATTCTCCTTTATTATCCCAATTGGTCTTTCGGCGTCGCGCGACAAAGTATCTTGTCGGATCGCTCACAGGGTGGCGATGCGGGCCTCCGTGTTAAGAGAATGGCCCACGTAAGCGGACATCGCAGATCAACAACACTTTGGGGTCAAATTCGGATCGGTGCAAACTGATGTACCGTTTGACTTTCAGCAGATTAATGGGTCCAAATCGGTGGGAAACAGAAGTTTGTTTGGAATTTACTGTTGCACCAATACATGGTTTTGGGCTGGTCTTAATTATATGTGTGCAAATCGTGGGTGCCTTCCAATTTTGCCAAGTGTTCTATAAAATATAGGACACTGATGGAGTTTAAAAACACTTCTTTTTTGAAACTTATGAATATTAATTTGTCCGCAATGTAAATTGTTTGAAGTGGCTTTACCGCTTTAGATGTCATTATTATATGATTTTGTTAAAGCTGATTTTCTTGAAGCTGCTTTAAAGTTGGCTTTAATAATAATTTTAAAAAAATCCTCACATAAATCAAAAGCCCTCTGATGTCATTGAATTAGAGATAAATCCTGAGATCAAAAGAACATTCACAGAACTGAAGCATAAAGTAAGATATTACGAATATCTGCAAGATAATTTAAAATAGTAATAATGATCATCTATTTGAAAAAATAACTGAGTAAACTAATTCATGTTTAATTTCAGCGTTTTGTCAGGATATACAATATTCGGCAGGGAACCGCGTTAGCAGGTGAGCGTGGTAACGACGGGCGCGTGTGAGGTAGCTTCAAATTAATCAGTGCCTGCAACATTAAAAATGCAAAGCAGCTGTGGTCACAGTTGCATCGGTGACAGGGGAGTTATTTTCATAGGCATTCGTGGATTAGGTGGACAATTAAGGGACTGCAAGGGGGCCCCTCTAAAACCCATTAAGCAGTTACGGCTCCTATTTATCTTTTTATTATTTCATGCCGTTATAAAAAAATGTGGAAGCTCCATTAAACATAGTGTTCATCAGTGCTCAGGCGAAGATGGATTGCAGTGCACCTGGAAATATATACAGTATTTAACGGGGTTTTTTTTCTTTCATTCACGAAACATCAAACTAATATCGGACGATCCAGGACTCACATGTTTACAACAGCTCTTTATGGATTTAATTATTCTTTCAATCGATTTTGGCGAGAGTGACATTATTTTAGATATCACAATCCCAGCGAACACCCTGGATGTATGGGAGGCACCGTTCACAATATATCGAGTATGGCCAGGGCCTACCCCAGGTCGACCCGACCACAAATTAGTACCCGACGCAGCACGTGTGAATGACAATAATGGGTGGGACATGCAAGATGCTTTCCCTGTCACCGTGCCTATTATGCTAGCCTTGATGATAGTAATAACTCACGGCACTTTTAAAATATTGCTGAATGAAGGTCTTCTCATGCCACGTCGGTCACGGGGGTCGTTTGGCTTTTCCTATGCAATGGAGTACGCGTGTTCTGCCGTGCGGCTTTCTGACCCTTGGAGGTGTAGTGAATCTTCCAGCCGATGTTGTCCCCAGACTTGTCGCTGATGAAGATGATCTCGGCCACGGGGCTCTTGGTCTCGATGGGGTCGGGCAGAGTCTTCCCACAAAGAGGCCCCCACTGCTGACCGCCCGACCGAATCTGATGCAAGTGCGTGGGTACACACGCACGCGTGAAATAGACACGCACGCACACACACGTACGCAAATTCAGAGGCGTGGGTACAGACCAGGGCTGGCGCTAGGGGGATGCGCTGGGGTGGGCCCTGCACCACCACACGGCCCTTTGGCACCACCCAAGTTCACTCTCCTTCCTTAGCGGTGCATCACCTTGACTGTGGTCCATCATACAATAGCTGTACTGGCCCTCACATCCAAGAGGAGCTCGAGCCAGGCATGGTGGTCGTGGTTTCGATCCCAACCCTGACACCTCTACGTTTGGAGTTTGCATGTCTCTCGCCCCATGATCGCGTGGATTTTTCTCTAGCCCTCCGCAATTATAAACATTATGGTATTTGGCTGCGATACCTTTCCACTCGATAAGCCACTTTATTGAGCTATCATTTGGGATGGCCAGGTCGCTTCTGAAAAAGCGCTACGTAGCTAAGTGGGCCTTACCTGGTAAAGTGAAAATAGTTTAGTGTAGGTGAGAACTCAAGAGACAATGATCTTTACCATGGGCCACCAAAAGTGGCAACAGCCAAACAAATACACTCAAGTGCGGCTTTGATGCAAATAGAATCGACGCGCGTGTCACAACGTCGTACGTACGGTCAGGCTGTCGTAGGGGCAGTTGTCCATGTGGGGGTGCAACTCCAGGTCAAAGGTCTCCTGGAAGGCAAGGTTCAGCACAAAGCCCTCCTCCAGGCGCACCGTGTAGCTGCACTGGGAGGCCCACGGGTAAGGCTTGGGGTACTCTGGGCTCGACAGTTCGCCCTGCCGCTCCGTGAACACGAGGCCACTGCACTCCACTGGCGGCGGGTGGGAGGGTGGGCACCACGGAGGGAGGTGTGTGGTTGGCACAGTTAGACAATTGGTCAACCATGCAGGGCCTCGCCACGTTTGGGACACGACAGCGTGGCGCAGTGGCCTCACAGATAGAAGTGCCCAAGTTCGAATCCCAATACGGGGCACCTTTCTGTTTCATGCTTTGTATGTTCTCCCCCGGTTTTTGCATGGGTTTCCTCCGGATTCTGGAGTTTACTGCCTTAGCTTCACACGTCACTCGTGTTAGCTGAGCATCGCATTGCCAAAGAGAATTATCTGGATATCACTCAAAGGCATTACACACAGCAACATCGCCCGCTACTGCAAGACTTGACAGGACCCTGGAGAAACATGTTCTCGGGACTATGTGAGGCTTCCCCGGGTAAACAAGCATAACAGCAAAAATAAATAATATTAATAATAACAACAAGGGCTCATCCGAAGCAAGACTTGACATGTCAAATGCAATGCCGCATCATCCAGGATGACGATGGCACAGCAGGTGTGAGAATCAGAATATTTATTTATAGAGGAGGAGGAATCCGATGCAATATGAAGCTTTTGTTCACGGATATCCAGGAGTTTCACAGGTGCCCAGTAGATCACTCATCAGATCACTCATCAGGTGTAGAGGATTTCTTATCGCATGCGACTTACCAGACGTGACCTGAAGCACCCCACGGAGTGCGTGCATGTATGTGTGTAAATGTTGAACGTCTCTCGCACCATACATAGCCAACCGTGCAAATCGAGAGGCGTGTTAAACCTAGACCAAAATACCGTGGACGTTCTCGCGATTTGTCCAGCTCTCCTTACATTTCGCAAGGGGACACCCCCCTCCCCCCCCACACACACACACACCATGTATACGATTGGCACACCTGTACAGGTGCGTCCGTCTGGATCCAGGGTGAAGCTGTGGCGGCAGGAGCACAGGTACCCTCCCGGGTAGTTGTGGCAGAAGTGATTGCAGGCGAGCTCCTCGTGCTCGGCATACTCCACGCACTCGTCGATGTCTACGGGCGCCAGGGCCGCAAAGCGCGTTCCACGGGGAAGGTCACTTGGAAGCAGCCAAGCGGCCGGTTGCATCGAACGCCGAAAGCGAGAATCCCCCCTCAATCGACACCGATTTAAAATAGGAGCTAAGGGGGGTTTCTGCACCTCAAGTTGTTTCGTATAACTAGAACACCAGGGCAGAAAATACCCCAACCCCCGTCTCCACCCCTCCTCCCCTTACAGGCAAAGACAAAGATCCCCTGGTGTATAGACTTTAACAGACTATTACGGCCAGTGTTGTTAGCGAGCACCTATGAAAGCTGACATGGGGGGAGGCATTGGCCAGTGCCACGCCTGGCCACCTCTGTCCATGTTTACACCAGGTCAGCTCCTAATTTTTACTAATATAAGGCCTAGTCGACCTAAGCGAGGTCCAGGACCGGTTGGGCTCATCACCACTGATGTTAGCCACGACCAAGAATCAATTTGCTTGTCAGGTTTGCACCCCTAGAGATTTAACAACTACACTACCGCAATAGACAGTCAGACAGTTGCTCGCTCCATGAACGCGGTGCCAAGGTCAAATGGATTCGCCGCGTGTAACTGAACAAATCAATTAACATTTTTTATTTTGGCAACTGCTTCCACAGCGTTTAAACCCAGAAAAAACAGCCAGACGCTCCTCAGTGCTGTAAGTGAGGAAGGGTTGCCACCTCTGACCTACAGAAAAGCAGGGACATATATCATGGGAAGAGGAATATCTCACAATACCGGGAGAGGGGAGAACCTACAGGTTCAATACATCCTTCTCGAGCGGTGAACTTTTCCGCAAATCACAGAACGCGGGACTTTTAATATCCCGGGATGACTCGCAGATTTCCCAGGACAACAGCTACCTCGACAGAAGAGGTCGGATCCTGGAGAAAATAAAAACCAGGACAGGTGGCCACCCTACGGCTTGGCCAGGCCTCGTGGTTCAGGGCCTACCCACGGCGGTGAAGTGGCCCGCGAACCCCGTGTAGTGCTCCTCGTTGGAGTAGTCGGAGCGGAAGGTGACCGTCATGGTGTTGCTGGGCGCCAGGATGGGCTCCTTCCCGGGGACCTTCTCTGTATCCGTGCTGTGCTGGCCGCAAAACAAGCCCAGCTGCTGCTCGCCTGCCATCACCTGTCCGGGGTCGGGTGACAGGCGATGTGGGGTTAAAAAAAGAAGTCAAATTGCATGCCCTGGAATGTGCTTTCCCACGCCGTCTTCGCTGCTGGCAGAAGGCAGCGTGTCGAGTCGCCCTCCCACGGAGATCGTCGGCCGACCGTTTCACTCTGGTTTAGGTGGCGGGATGGCTGAAGTCAGCGCTTCAAATCGCGTGTGTAAGAATGGATGGTATTTTTGATTCAATTATAAATTGTATGCATTGGGTCCATGTGACCCCTGCAGACAAGAGGGACCGCTATATTCACCACCATGTACAATTATAATTACATTGAAATCGCCAGGAACCTTTCACCCCGAACTGCTACTTCTCCAGGTCCTCCGGTTTTTCCTTCCACATTTATAATCAACGTGCGTTTCGAGTATTTGGCTGCAACAAATTTGCACACGATGATGAGCTCACATTTTATCCCACCACACGTGACCTACCGATTGAATCACTGCGGTGTACCCAGATATAACTTCTGAGTAAACAGAAGTGGGTAGGGGTCAGGGGGAGGGGAGATTTAAGAAACTTGCTTCATCGTTACAACTGCAGTGCTGGATTTCGAGTTCAGTATGCTCACCATTACACTGTGGCAGCGTCCCCGTAGACACTGCATTGAGATCACACATTGTCATATTAAAGTGCCCCCCTTGCTCGGTGAACAATTGGCAGCGTTCATCTCCATCGTTGGCTCCGAGTGGGAAAGAGTGAAAATGCCATTGTTCTGTGGCAGGGAACATTCCTCTTCATTAACACAGCCACGGTTGATCTCTAACGCCAGCCAAACGGTGCAGCCTCGTCACAGTGACTTTGCTCCTTCGGCCCCAGAGCGATGACCACGACGACGATGATGGGCTGAGTTGCCCCTGACCAGGACTCAAACTTACGTTTAAGTGGTGATGAGCGCAGGACTCTATCACTCGGGCTACGCCAGACTCCACACGTGTAACATGTGCATGTCATTTAGACGTGCCGTACATGTAACCGCCTACAGTAATTGTCAGCGGTCCCATGTTTCGCTTACACGTGTTTCCTGAAACCGCCTTGGCAGTCTTCCTTTTAAATGCATCTCTGTCACGTTTGCTAAACATTGCTCATACGGCCCATCAAACATGATGAGGTGGAAGGGGGGGAGGGGTAATATGGGGTACACCGATACCAAGGCTACAAGCTCAGGTGGTGGTGTGGGGATGGGGTGGGCAATTGAAAATTTGTTTTAATATGATAGCTTAGCGAGTAGCCATGTTCCGAGATAAATGCCAAACAAAGGGTTGCATTGTGGTTGAACATCCCAGCTATTTGTGCGTACACAGTTCAATCTCGCCTCTTGCCCAATAAGAGTATAACATTTCAAAAGCACGCGCTAAAGTAAATATTGCAACCCTGGCTAGCATCTCGGCCTGGGAAAAAATGCTCCCTTTGACAACGGGGACAGGTGGACGGCTAGGGATGAGGGCCCCCCAGCCGACAATATCATTATTTACTGTGGTTCATAACCAGCCCCCCGCTCCAAATGAAGAGACATAATTGTTGCTATAGTTTGTGTCCCTTTGGTAAAGGAGCACGTGTTATTTTTGACCGTTTCTGGCCTTAATTCAGATTTTATTTTTGTACACCCCCACCCATCCACCCAACCACTCGCCTGGCCCGCATTCGTCTCTGCACAGCATGGCCACACATCTGTTCGGAATCATGGGGATTTCTCAAGGCTCGGTTTGCATACACCCACACACACTCACGCACAAAGAAAAGACAAAGATCCCCCGTATAGCCTTTTAACAGACTGTTGAGGCAAGTGCCGTTAGCGAGGAGCACCTATGAACGTTTACACGGCACACGAGGGGCTGTGCGGTCGGTTCTCACGCCCGGCCACCTTTGTTTCCGCCGCAGAATCACATGTAACAACTCAGAATGTCACCTTGCAGAATGAGTCATTTTTTCGAAACAAAAATCAAATGATCGCTTAAATTAGCCGGCGACTAAAGGGCAGCGCTCAATATCTGATCGATCAATCTCCAATGTATGTATTGACGAAGGCAAGTCACCACTCTCTTCGGGAAATGAAAGTCCTTGCGGGAGTTTCTTTAAGGAAAAAAATAGTATGAAGACCATGCAACGAACGAGGAAGTCCTGCAAAGAATAGCCAAAGACAATGAATCAGGACTCCTCAGTCAGGTCAAGTGGATGCTGATGGGAGGGAACATTGGCAGTAGGATCGGTACTAGGCGGATGCTGGGCTGGGACCCGCACCACCGAATATCCCTTTGGCACCACGCAAGTTCACCCTCCTTCGTGGTGAATCACTGTGCAGAGTTGGAGCCGGGCCTGAGTGGAAGGTGTTGGGAAAGAGGAAAGGCCACGATCTGACCGGACGTCAAACCACACCTGACGGGACGGAAGCCGTCTCCGTTGAGAGACGATGGTGACGGACGGAGAGAGAGAGAGAAAGGCACTGGATAGAGACATCGGTGAACGATCGTGGCCCAACGGTCCAAGACGCCAAGGGCCTAGAAACAAGACGCCCGTGTGTGAAACGCGCGCACGCGCGAGAGAGTTCCGCGGGACCTACTGGAGGCTTCTGGGGGCGAGTTCTCACCTTCAAGTAGTCGTACTCGCACAGGTACGACGGCTCCACCTCGAAGTGCTGGAACTGCAGGCGCAAGCGGTACCCGGCCGGTACGGACAGTTGCCAGGTGTGGAGCACCTGGTTTTTGTACGGCGTCGGGTAGCCGGGCGACGTGAACGATCCGCTCATGCCGCTCAGGCGATGCTGCTTCTCGGCCACCAGCCCGCACAGCGCCGCCGGCAGCAGCAGCAGCAGGAGCCACCGCGTGCTTGAACGAGAAAAGGCGCGTTACCCTCACACGCGCTTCTCTCATCCATTATTTAATCGCCCCATTGCCGATAACGCAGTGACCCAGGGGGCAGCCTCCCCGGGATGGCCGTGTCTTGCTGCGGCCGCTTTAAGAGTCTCTCCGGCGGGCGCCTGGTCTGATATAAAATAAATAGGTAATGAGGGCATTTTCCCCAGGGAGAAATTGGTGAAGGTGCACAGGCCTGCAAAGTTCTTAATCAAGTCGCTTCTGGCAGATGGGGCCTCCACTAGGAGGAACTTTACAAATCCGCCCTTCCACTCTGACCAGACGTCTTGGAAAAGGTAGGAATACCGACACTTTCCTAGACCACACGGGAAATCTCTCGATCGAATCTATCGACTGCCTGTGTGGTGTACAGTACATTTATAGCGTTGGGTGGACAGAAGGGGATTTGAGTAACACCACAATTGTTTCAACTGCTACGCCAGGAGATGGAGTCGAATGGGAGACTTCTGGACTGCAAGTCGAGCGCACTTTGACTGTCATCGCACCACGGCAAGCAACGTTAATTTTCCCTGCGGGTAGCTTCGTGCCAAATGTAGCGCTTGGTGGAACGAGTTCTCCTGAGCACAGGAATACAGGTAGGCAGGTGCCAGGAAGTCCTCCCACGCGTGAGCATGCCAGCGTTGGCTATTACGTGGTAAAATGAAAAATAATAATTTCCATCGTCCCATCTGTTTGCCTATAAACCGTCGACTGAAGAGGTCTCTTGACGTCGTGGGCATTCCGTGCAGGTGTGCAGGTGGTGTGGTAAAAAAAAGTAGAAAATTCCCAGTAATTGCAATTATATTTCTCGTTAAAAAAATAAGCTTTTTACACACTTTGTGCACTTGTATTCAAATGCAGATATGTGTAACTCATAATCAAAGACATTAATTTTCACCATCTGGAACGCTCTTCCTTCCGATATTAGGAAGCCACTGGAACTATGCACTTTTAAATCGAGATTTAAAACGAATTTCTTTAGAACTGCTTTTTGTTGTTTAATTTGTTGTCCTTCCCCCGCACCTCAGATTAGGACGGTTGGCTACGTACGGTGCGAAAGAAGTTCAACGTACATCACGTCCCTTTTGCAAGGGCAACCTGTGTCAAGTGACAGCAGTGCAGTGCAATGTAGTAGATCTGATATACAGAGCTAGGAAAATATATGCAGTTTAAACCAAAGAACACATTCCTGCGGAGTGAGCTGGTAGGAACATTGAGTTGCTCGGTCAATGGCCAGGGTCAACGGCGGCATGGTGTATTCCGCAAATTTGCCCGACTGTGAGGGCGGGCACAAGCTGGCGTGAGTAGGTTAAACGTTGAGTTTTATAAGGGCACCACGGGGTGACCAGCCCCTCCCCACCCAGCCCCACCCCCCCCCCCCACACCCCACCCAGTCCCACCCTCCCCACACAGCCCCTCCCCACACAGCCCCTCCCCACCCTCCCCACCCAGCCCCTCCCCACCCTCCCCACCCAGCTCCACCCCACCCTCCCCTCCACAACCAGCCCCACCATCCCCACCCTCCCCTCTCCACCCAGTTCCACCCCTCCCATTTTCGGATACACAACGGACGGACGGACACAATAATCCCCTGTGGGCTGGTGTAACCAGGAGGTTCCTACCAGTAAAATGTTATATATATAAACAGTGAGGGAAAAAAGTAATTGATCCCCTGATGATTTCGTACGTTTGCCCACTGACAAAGAAATTATCAGTCTATAATTTTAATGGTAGGTTTATTTGAACAGTGAGAGACAGAATAACAACAACAAAATCCAGAAAAACGCATGTCAAAAATGTTATGAATTGATTTGCATTTTAATGAGGGAATAAGTATTTGACCCCTCTGCAAAACATGACTTAGTACTTGGTGGCAAAACCCTTGTTGGCAATCACAGAGGTCAGATGTTTCTTGTAGTTGGCCACAAGGTTTGCACACATCTTAGGAGGGATTTTGTCCCACTCCTCTTTGCAGATCTTCTCCAAGTCATTAAGGTTTCGAGGCTGACGTTTGGCAACTCGAACCTTCAGCTCCCTCCACAGATTTTCTATGGGATTAAGGTCTGGAGACTGGCTAGGCCACTCCAGGACCTTAATGTGCTACTTCTTGAGCCACTCCTTTGTTGCCTTGGCCGTGTGCTTTGGGTCATTGTCATGCTGGAATACCCATCCACGACCCATTTTCAATGCCCTGGCTGAGGGAAGGAGGTTCTCACCCAAGATTTGACGGTACATGGCCCCGTCCATCGTCCCTTTGATGCGGTGAAGTTGTCCTGTCCCCTTAGTAGAAAAACACCCCCAAAGCATAATGTTTCCACCTCCATGTTTGACGGTGGGGATGCTGTTCTTAGGGTCATAGGCAGCATTCCTCCTCCTCCAAACACGGCGAGTTGAGTTGATACCAAAGAGCTCCATTTTGGTCTCATCTGACCACAACACTTTCACCCAGTTGTCCCCTGAATCATTCAGATGTTCATTGGCAAACTTCAGATGGGCATGTATATGTGCTTTCTTGAGCAGGGGGACCTTGCGGGCGCTGCAGGATTTCTGTCCTTCATGGCGTAGTGTGTTACCAATTGTTCTCTTGGTGACTATGGTCCCAGCTGCTTTGAGATCATAAGATCCTCCCGTGTAGTTCTGGGCTGATTCCTCACCGTTCTCATGATCATTGCAACTCCACGAGGTGAGATCGTGCATGGAGCCCCAGGCCGAGGGAGATTGACAGTTCTTTTGTGTTTCTTCCATTTGCGAATAATCACACCAACTGTTGTCACCTTCTCACCAAGCTTCTTGGCAATGGTCTTGTAGCCCATTCCAGCCTTGTGTAGGTCTACAATCTTGTCCCTGACATTCTTGGAGAGCTCTTTGGTCTTGACCATGGTGGAGAGTTTGGAATATGATTGATTGCTTCTGTGGATAGGTGTCTTTTATACAGGTAACAAGCTGAGATTAGGAGCACTCCCTTTAAGAGTGTGCTCCTAATCTCAGCTCGTTACCTGTATAAAAGACACCTGGGAGCCAGAAATCTTTATGATTGAGAGGGGGTCAAATACTTATTTCCCTCATTAAAATGCAAATCAATTTATAACATTTTTGACATACGTTTTTTCTGGATTTTGTTGTTGTTATTCTGTCTCTCACTGTTCAAATCAACCTACCATTAAAATTATAGACTGATCATTTCTTTGTCAAATACTTTTTTTCCCTCACTGTATACAATATAAACACTATCAGTTGTTATCCATAATTTAAACTTTGTCTCTCCCTCTCTCGCTGCTTATCTTTTAATGTTTTAAAACAATAATTAATTCAACTGGCCTTGGCTAAAAGTGCCTCCTTTTGAAAATATGGACCCAGAATTATTTGTTTTTGCTGTTGACAATGCTTTCGTAGTTGGCGGATCAAGGTCCAGAACCAATGTCAACATTTTAAAACTCTTCACAGGAAAGGTTTCACTTCTAAAAGACAAAACGCGCGTGTCAATACGTGTTTACACGGCAACAAACCTTGTTAGCCCTTTTGCGTGTAGCCAATCATGGTTGGAAAGATGCATGTAGCATGCATACCGCTGTGTGCTTGGAATTAAGTTGAGAGATAGAAAGCTGAAGACGTGGACTAGATAACAAACGAGTTATATACGTAATTCAAACACTTAAGCCAAGTAAGCGTCCTTTGGAAGGACGCGTGGATAAGAAAGAATGATGGCGGATGATTAAGCATTGTTGCTGCTTCGGAACGCAATGCGTCCGAGGGTTACGTGGATTGTTGCATCGCAAGAGAACGAGAGACGGAAAAGAGCTTTGGGGATGCCTTCGTCCAGCAGTAGATTTATTTATTTCTGATGATGCATCACGGCCTACATCAAAACCTACGATTTTAACTTGAACAAAGCAAGAATAGTCTGCGTCACGTCTGCGTTCAAAATCAGAGCACTCAGACGGTGCGACTGTTTAAAACTTTCTCCGGCCCTGTTAAACACGGAGCGTTTGGCGATGCTTATGACTTGGGGGGGGGGAGGCAGTTTGGAATACTGGCTTGAACGTGAGACTTGATGATATTCCGTGGAGCTGCATGCATTCTCACTGGAGCGTTTTGTTTAACCAAGATGCTAAGAAATGCTGCCCGCACTGTACATATAAAACACAGCCCCCCACCCACCTCCCGTTATCAGCACGTCGGCTAACGATGCAAGCAAACCTTGCACGGGCGAACATTGATCACTCTTGCTCACGTGTTAGAGAGCAGGATTAATGGCGGTCTATGACGCTGCTGTCATTGACGTCACAGGTAACCACGCTATGACGACTCGAGCGGGGATTCATTTCTCAGGGGGCGGGGGACTTTCAACAGTCGCTGAAACCCCCCCCCCCAAACCGCAAGGCCTTGTGGGAGTGCATCATTTGGGCAGCATTGGCTCAGTACAAGCAAGGTGTGGATCCGTTTCGAGAGAAGGCCTTTGTGCTCAATGGGAAGTGTCAAACATACTTTTTATTTTTTAAATTCGTATGTGGAGGGATTGATGTATGATGGAAACTATGTACTCTTAGTCACCTTATTTACTTATATTCTCCACGACGACGCTAATTATCACTTTGAGTTATGAAAAATAAGAATAGGTTTTACCCTTTCTGGCAATAGAACAAAAGGTGTTAAGATGTCCAAACACTAAATAAAAACCTTTTGCAAGAAATTATATCTGCATTAACCAGACACGGTACTTGTGGTGAACATGCAAAAAAAACATGCTCTGGTAATCATATATGCATGGCCAATCAGTTTCAAAGACAATTCATACATTTTCAGAGCATGATTTGTTTACGCTGAGCAGGTTATGTGAATAAAGTCGTTATTATTGCCTTTTTGGTTAAATTTTTCCCATGATTCAAAACTTATGGGACACCCGGTGCTTGTTTATATACACAGAGGGACATATGTGTATATACGGAGCTATATCGTCTGTACTTTATCATTGGAGCGACTACGATGAGCAACACAAGGAGGTAGTGCCCAGTGAGCAGGGTGGGGGAACGCTTTAGAATCAAAATATTGAATTATACTGGAGGAATCCGATGAGCTATAAAGCTCTTTTTAACAAATGCCCAGTAGGGGCGGGTTAGAGAGTTGCAACAACAAACAGCACAAACACACAATAGGAGTGCAAAGTATAGGAAAGGTAAGACAATCTATTTTTTAACCTAACCAGGTAAGGCCCACTGAGCTATTAGTTTCTTATTTTTCCTAAGCGACCTGGCCACAACAATGATAGCTCAACGAAGTGGATTGCGATCACGTGAAAATGTATAGCAGCTAAATAATCTAAACGCATGTGTAATTACAAAATACAGAGACCTGAGCACCCATCTCCCCTTCTAAATCGTTAGTCAATGCAACATAATAATGTTGGAGAGCGCTGGACAAAGTTAAAACATTAACACAACCCCGGACGACGTCTATGGGGGTTATGAGCTATGTTAGAGCAAAGGATGCAAGATGAACAACACAGCAGATCGTTCCATTGTCCGTTCAGCCTCCAACGTGTGCGTAACGTTCGCTTAACGTTAACAACGTCGTGCACTGCCGATAAGTTTCCGTACACCCCGCCAACTCTTCGAGCACAGTTAACGTTACCGAAAACGTATGTGTATCACGCACGTATGTTACCTGAACATTCTCGCCCTGGGTGCCATCTCCGTGCCAGGCTAAGGGAGAGAGGGAGAGAGAGAGCTTTGGCTCAAGCGTCTAAATTAATGAAATAAGCGCAACTTGCTATGGGGCGGAATCCACACACAAAAAAAACACACTGGGCGCACACCATTGGATGAAAGTTGGCGTTCCGTGACCCAAAGAGAACGTCCGAACAACGGTGGTTTGGGTGGGGGGGAGTCGCCCCGTCACTTCGCATTGCGCGTCTGTCTTTCTGTGTCTATACCGCCCGAGTGGGGAGCGGTGGCGCAGTGGTTAGCGCATTGCGCGTCTGTCTTTGTGTGTCGAAACAGCCCGAGTGGGGGAGCGGTGGCGCAGTGGTTAGCGCATTGCGCTACGAACCCTGGCTTACCCAAGTTCGATTTCCCCCCCCCCTCCCTCACTCCGCCCGCTCACGGAAAACAATCGAATATATAAACCGGTGCTGGGTGCTCCCCTAGGTCGACTCAGCCGAAATAACGAGTACCTAATGGGGTATGGAAAAACATCAGCACTGGGGGAGAGAAAAGCGGGCGGGCATGGTCCTGGCTACACCACTCCCTGCGTGTGCCGTTCCTGGCTTTACATGCGCTCTCTAACAGCCCTTGCTCCAACAGTTTGCTAAAGGTCACACGGGTAATACTTGGATTTTGCTTGTGTATGTCATCGTCATTATCAGTCATTATCTCTCCTCTGCTGGATGAAGGCATCTCCACGCCTGTTTTTTGCGATGCAACAACAATCGTATATAGTTCCTGCACGCGAGCCGATTTCATCGCTCCGTCTCCGCAGTGGACATTCCCTCGTGCGTGTTTCACTCCTTTCGCTGCTACTCCGTCATGCCTCGACCACCCGCCATCCATCCCTTCTAGCGACCCGGCTTTGCCCCTGGGGGAAAAATATATTTCAAAACTTCTCTTCTCTTAAAAAACACACAACATGCACGGACACAAATACTCAGCTGTTGTGAAAGGCCGGCGTTCCGTTTGTCTGTACATTTGTCCGTCAAAAAAAAATAAGAGCCTTACAGAAGTCCTGAATCAAAAGGTTGTAGAAAGTGGGGGGTGGGGGGGGGGTAAATAGTTGATCTGAAAGGTTTCCAAAAATTTCCGAGCCCCCATCCCCGCTCCAAAAACCTTTTACCCCCCCATTTTTACATTTTTTATTTTGTACACACCCTACATTCAGTAGAGTCAGTATCATCTAGTGACTCTACAGTCGTAACTACTGACTCTAAAGTAGCATGGAGTGATTCCATGACCACCGATCTTCTTTCACATCAAGCTGTGTGAGTCCTCGCGTGGCCCAAGTGTCGAAAGTTCACCGCGACGTTAGTGCCACCTTGTGGTGGACTCCCTGAGAGTTACTAAAGCAGCCCTGCTGCACGCTCATACGTTTCGCTGTGCCGTGGACAGCTTCGTTCACGAAAAGGCTCAACGTAATTCTTCAAAGATGACGCTGGCCTTAAAATTGTATTATTTGCATTATCATTTGTTCAAATAGATGTATAAGTAGGTATCCAACAACGTATTTGTTTAACATTCAGGTACCATTAAATATTCGGAACCTTCGGTTAATATCTATTCTGTAGACATGTACCTCAAATTAACATTTGAACATCATTTATTATAATCTAACAATCATCTAATACAACTAATGAACTATGACTAATCCGTTTTACCACGTGAGCATACTAACTTTCATATTCCAATCGCTACCATGATTGTGAGATAAATTAAATAATGTATGCAAATAGATGAACCTCTAAGTATCACAAGGTGAGACGTCGTACCCGCTACTTACAGGGCTCAGGACCTAAGGAAATGTTCACAATTTCTGGCAGCTGCCTGACGATGGTGGTTGCAAATGTCAGGGAAACGCCGTAGACAACAATTGAAAGTTGCCAAATTGTTTTGTTTTTTTGCCAAAAACATCGACGGTCATCGAAGAAAATGGTTAATAAATTAGGCGCCGTTTGTTCGCCACGTGACGAAGTTTATTCACTTGCTGTGTCGGGTGGAGGAGGGTTTACGACACACTTCGTTTACGCGATATGACGCAGCAAGTCTATTGAGGATAACTCTCGTAACAAGTTTGCTCGGAATGTTTCATCGAAATGGGATGAATATTAATCGATATTCGAATACTGAACCATCACCAAAGTTCCTTCTGGTGACAGAATTAGCAACTTATGTTTTGCACAGTACTGTTGTCATGGATCGCTCATAGATTGTTGTTGAAGCAGCTATACTATAAGAATAAATATACGTATAAAATACATTTAATATTAATAATGGCACTATTTCTTTTTTTTATCACGTGGGTCTACAGTTAAGGGTTGTTTGTGCATGTAAGGTCTGGAGCGGTGGTGCAGCGGTTAGCTCGTCAACATCAGTGACTATTAACTGAATCGGTCCTGGGCCTCCCTTAGGTCGACTCAGCCTCAAGTGGAGTACCTCGTGCAATGTGTAAACATCGCCTCTGGGGAGCCAAAGGCGGTCGGGCGTGATGCTGGCCATCCATTGCCTCGGATGCATTGCCGGCCTTCATAGGTGCTGCTCGCTAACAGAACTTGCCCCCTACAGACTGTTAAGGCGTAAGAAATGCTCGCAAGTGACGTCATAACATCTACCCCCCTATTTAAGGAACGAAACAGGAGGATTTCTCCACAAATCTGGCTTTCGCCTGATGAAGCTAGTTATAATTACTGGCGAAACGTTGTACTCAGATTGTAAATGTTGTGGCTTTGCTCTCCAACACACCGGTTAGTGCTGTACTAGTGTAGTGTAATAGTGCCGGCTGGTGACCAGCAGCAGCGGCAAGTGCGGTGGACAAACATTACACACGCCGGTGAGCATCTACACGGCTGTGTGTCGGCAGGGCGGAGGAACTGGGGCAAGGGTCATGGAGGGCCCCATCTGGAAGCCCCTGGAACCTACCGGTGGGTTCGAGAAGGGAGGCGCGGCCAGGGCGGAGCCAGGCCACGCTGGTAGCATGAAAGGGGCCCAGAGCGGGAGCTGGAGGCTGCCGGTTTTGGGATTGGATCGTCTCGTCGCCATCGTCGCTGCCGTTTCCGCTCGACATGACGCTGCTAGACAGCCTGTTAGCTGTCTTGGTCAGCGCCGCCGGTGCTAGACGGCTCATGTTGTGTCATAGGCTAGCGAGTACGGAGTGTGTGCAGGCGAGATCTTGCGTGTTAATAAAAGGTGCCTCTACAAATATCGTCTCCGAAGTCACTGCACTACACTAGCAACGAATTGGCACGTTCTGTTTACGTGACGAACCTTACTAATTGGCTGTGTCGGGTGGTGGCGGTGGGTTAACGACACGTTTATATATTTACGCGATATAACCCAACAAAAAAAAAAAACCCCACCTGTATTACGGATGATATTGGTGGCGAAAGCCTACGGTGTTAAACTGCACCGCTGCACGGGGTGTGTAAACTACGTGAGCGAAACAGCGGGGGACATCACGTGATGCGCCGGCCCCCCTTGTCGACAGGGATAACTCCGTTTAACACGTAGGCTTTCGCGACCAATATTATTCATAATAAAGGTTTTTGGGTTAGATCGCGTTTATTTATAAATGTGTCGTAACCCTCCACCACCCGACATGGCCAATCAGCAAAAAAAAGTGTCACGTTGACAAAAGACAAATAATTCACTACTTTAGCTCACCGGTGTGTTGAAGAGCGAATCCACATTTACAGTTTGAGTACGACGTTTCGCTGGTAAATACATCCAGCATCATCGGGCAATTCGCCGTCGTGACAAGGGCGCACGCCTTTTCTTTTTAGCTTCACCGCATTCCCCAAGAAGAGACCGAGGAGCCTCAAACTCGGGGGTCGCCCGTTGTGGGCGTCTCGTCAACCTCGGCGGGCCTCGCCCACTTAAACAAAAAAACCACGCCCACTTATACAAAACCACGCCCACTCGAAAGTTGGCCCTGCCCACCGTTTGTGGAGATCCCCGCCTACTCTGCCGATATCATGTTGAGTGGAGCGTGCAGCCAGACAGTCATGTTTATTTAACCGGTACAAAAACCCAGATTTTCGCTTTAAAAAAAAAAGCACACTAGTACAGCCTTTCTGAAATCAGTCTCGGCCAAACAATTGTGTTCAGTAGCCTTAGGGGCTGTCCATAAATGACGCCACGCACCTAGGGGGGGTCAGACATTTGTGACGATGTGTGACGAGGGGGGGGGGGTTTGAGAAATGTGACGTCACATCAAAACGCGCAACTTTAAATAAATATAGACAGCACGTTCTACTTAATTAAATAGACTTATTGATAAATGTTTTCTCCTACAACATCAGAGTGCAGCGCCACAGTAAATACGCACTACAATGACAATAGTTTAAAGCGATTTGAAGCATGTTTTTTATATATTTGGGGGGGGGGGGGCAGAGCTTTGTGACGTCATATTTGAGGGAGGTTCTGACTTTTTGTGTAACGAGGGAGGGAGGGGGGTCAAAAATCGTCCGAAATCGCGTGACGTCATTTATGGACGGCCCCTTAAATATACCAGTCTCACTCGCCTGTTCGTCCGGGCAAAATGTATCCACCGAGCAAGCTTGATACGAATCTGCATGTTGCCCGACTTCTCCTGTTTGATCTCTCCGTCTATCCGAGTGTGCTGTTTACCCACAACCAACAGCCCGTCCCTGCCCAGCCCCGCCACCCTTGCGTGCGCTGAGCACTCCACGCTGCAGACACGCGTCAGCTATGACGACAAGGCATGGCTTTAACAAGAAGAGACGAGGCAAGTCTCTTACGGGAAACTCTCGTCCCATGTTTTACACCCCCCCCCAGCAAAACAGACAGGGGGACAACGTGGCCCCTTCGTGTACGTATCTCCTCCGGATAAAATAATGTTTTTAATAACGTGTATACTACCCGTCTGCCCCCAATGTCCCTTCTGGGAGTGTTTAGTTGAGGCTTGCGTTGATTTGCAAAAGGCGTTGGAAAGCTGAAATTTAGCAATAAATTATCTTGAAAATATTCAACATCTAACTAAAACTGCAGATGTTCAGAATATTATATTGAAATTCTCTTCTAATTATAAAATATTAAAAGTAATTATAACTATAAAAAATAGTTGAAACTTTGTAGTAGAACGAAGCAAAATGGAGAGTACAATTATAACAATCATATATTCATTCCACAAAATGAAAAGTAGAATCATTAAAATCAAAGTGTTTAATAACAACCATTCAACAAATTTACAACATTTATGCTTCTCAATTCTCCCATGGAGAAGCAAAATGCTCCTTCATGGAATAAATA